GTAATACTTATTACATTATGTGCAGTTTTTACATTCTGTGCAGTTATTACATTATGAGTTGCTACATTGTTAACAGCAGGTGTTCATTACAAATTCTTACTAATTAATTAAATCATCATTTAATTAATCACTTAATTATCTCATTAACTTTAACTCTTTGAGGACTTGGGATTTGACTTTAGACTTGCTTGTGACTTGAAAGTCCCACCTCTGCTTTATCTTGAAGGATTTGCTATCCTGTGGCTGCCTCGTGTGGAAAACATTAGTATTATGGTCTTCATCTCTGAATCACATTAATATAAATGGCTAATATTTTTTTTTAATAATTACAAATGATTAATGATTACTTTATTGATAATATACCCACATTAAACTCAAATTCACTGATTCTGTATCTTATTTCATGCTTTAACAGTTGAATTTTCTACTTAAATTTTTAAGCAGTAATGATTCATTATTATGTCACTTGTTAAACGGTTATTTAACAATTGCATTCAGTCCTGCTCCCTGCATTAATAGTGTGATTTAGTTTGTTGTGTAACACAGGGATCCTCAAATCTGGCCCAAGAGATCCACTTTCCTGCAGAGTTTAGCTCTAACCCTAATCAAACACACCTGAGCATGCTAATCAATGTCTTCAGGATCATTAGAAAATCACAGGTAGGTGAGTTTGATCAGGGTTGGAGCTAAACTCTGCAGCGCATTGGCCCTCCAGGGCAAGATTTGAGGAACCCTGGTGTAACATTAGCAAAGAGTGGATGAACTTTATTTTTAATGAAGTTCCAGATTGTGTCAGTAAGACACTGTTCATTTATTTACTTCAGTTTACTGTGGATTTGCTTTTAAACAAGTTCAACACAGGCTTTTCAGAGACTGAAAATAAAAGATGATGCAGTGCCGACTATATTGGATCCGACAGTAATGTCACAACTAGGAATGGGCGATATAACCAAAATCTTATTTCATGGCATGATAAATTTTATTCAGTACGTTTATTTAACATTAGGGGTGTAACGATCCATCGATATACATTGATTAAATGACGACGCATCGATGCCACACGTAAAATATCGATATCTGTAGTATAAATAGGCACCTTATTTTGACACTGTCCTCATTTTCACCAATGTCAGTCTATGCATTACCGCCAACGCGTGCATTCTCGTTCAAACTCACGTGTCGGCACGATAAGACTGCCTGAAGGGCGAGCGGAAAAGACGCTCGGGATTGTTGACGGAATTGTCAAGCGCTTGTGAGAAGTTTTCAGCACGCAGTGACACGCGCACACATCCAAAGCGCACGCATACAGAAACAGCCGCATCGACAGCGCGCTAATACTTGAGCTCTCTTCCGTTTTTTTGTGCATGGATGAAGAAAAACAGACCAAATTACATCAACATGTGCGCCTTGGCCAATATCCTAGTAAACACACTTAAGATTACTGATCTTGTGGGCGACTTAATTTTTTTTCAAATATTTATTTTTCTTTATTATTTAAAAAAAAAAAGGCCTATTTTTTGTTGTGAATGTCCCAATTGAGGAACAGGATGTGAAATTTTATGATAAATGTTCATGTTATATGTTTTGGTTGCATTTGTGAGTTAATAAAAATGTAGATGGTTGTTTAAAATAGGTCGATATTCGATATCGATATTCTCCTGTATCGAATCGTATCATAGAATTTTTTGAATTATCGGCAAATATCGTATCGCTGGGTATGAGAATCGATATTGTATCGTATTGTATCGTGACGAACCATCCGATTTACACCCCTATTTAACATGTAATAAGAAATACTACATAAATTGAAAAATCAAGTGTATAACTAACACTGTATAGTCTTAAATATATGAATCAAATGTGTACTGATTCTTATTAAAGATCCAAAAGTGATTCATTCAAGAACAGTGAGTGATTTTCTCTGTCTTTTGTTGTTTGATTAACATTAATGACACAGAGAGCAGCAGGTTTATTAGACTGCTGTCCCTTTAAGGCCCTGCACCAAAATGCATCTTAATACCAGGTGTAAACAGGTTCTAAGACTGACTGCACGGATCCAATACACTGAAACACATTTGTTTTTTTCACAACTGTTTGTTAATTTAACTTATGACAGACTGTGTTCACATTTACATTTAGTCATTTAGCAGATGCTTTTATCCAAAGCGACTTACAAATGAGGACAATGGAAGCAATCAAAATCAACAAAAGAGCAATGATACGCAAGTGCTATAACAAGTCTCAGTTAGCTTAATGCAGCACATGTAAACAAGGTTTTTTTTATTTTTTATTATATATTAAATAAAAAGAAAAACAGATAGAATAGAAAAAGAATAGAGCAAGCTAGTGTTAGAGGCCTTTTTTCACGTGAATACTTCACACGACAGGCATTTGACATAATTATGTGTGTATTTGACCTTTCAAGATGCAAAAGAGAACTGAATTTGTGATTGCACGTTGTCTGAGAGAGTACACGTTGGGTCTATGTCTATGTACCACAAGTTTTTTTTTCACTGCTTATTGCACTTTTAACTCTATTTAACATCTAGACAGGCCCTACTCTCATGCATGTTTCGTTATAACTCTTAGGTCAGTTGTATAACTTTTAAGTAGTACTGTGCTTTGCGGATATATTTTCATACCACAAAATCAACAATTTAGCAAAATCTCTAACGACAGACACTTTGTACCATGGTAATGATAAAGTATAAAGTGACGTGACATGTGGCCAAGTATGGTGACCCATACTCGGAATTAGTGCTCTGCATTTATCCCATCCAAAGTGCACACAGACAGCAGTGAACACACACACACCGTGAACACACACCCGGAGCAGTGGGCAGCCATTTATGCTGCGGCGCCCGGGGAGCAGTTGGGGGTTCGGTGCCTTGCTCAAGGGCACCTCAGTCGTGGTATTGAAGGTGGGAGAGAGCGCTGTACATTCACTCCCCCCACCTACAATCCCTGCCGGTATGAGACTCGAACCCACAACCTTTGGGTTACGAGTCCGACTCTCTAACCATTAGGCCACGACTTCCCCTAAGTCGTGGCCTAATATATACCATCACACCGCCCAGCCCTAGTCTCAAAACACAATTGTAATGTGTTTTTACCAAGTATCACTATTGCTTTGTCTGTTATAGACTGTTTTATATGTACGGAGTATTTATGTTTTTAACCAAAATGACCCATATCGTTTTCACAGCAGCATCTTTCAAATTTTTTATTATGCAAAACTGTTACTCAATCATAGCAGTGGGTGTTGACCATAGACTGTATAAAAACATGGACGTAGTGTCCGTGACGTCACCCGTAGGTTTCCGAAGAGCGTTTTTGAAGCCTAAAGTAGGCGGGGCCGGCCGTCGCCATCTTGGCAGCGCATCACCGCACGTCACTCCCGGATAATCGAAAATGGGCAAATAGGCAGGAGCTGGTTGCTGAAACCACGCCCACCTAGCTCGATGGTGGTGACAGCAGCCAAGTAAATATAACTGCAGACCGGAGATCTCCAAAATAGGGCGTGAACTCCAAAAGTGGGCAGAACCTCCAAAATGGGGCGGGGTCTACTCGCGCAAAGACTTTCACCATTGGCTCTGGCTCCAGCCAATTGTTATTGACTTACATT